GTTTTGTTGACTTATTAACCCATCAAATATTGGGTTGAAAATTTTTTGTTGGATCTAAAATTGGGTTTGGAAATAGGTAGAAAATATTTGAACTATTACCTTTTAAAAAATATTGACGTGGCGAGCATGAGGTGCTCAAACTAGACATCCAATTCGGGTAGATTACCTTTCTTATTGGCATTCACGAGACAATAATACTACAAACTTACAAAAAATGTGTAGAAAAATATGCAAAATTTGAATTAGATTAATCCTGGGTGTAGCCTATTTAATAATATAATACTAAGGTTTAAATCTATACTACACATTTAAATTTTGAGCAATGTCGTAACATTCCAAGGTGGATGTTTGACCCCTAGACTAATAAGGTTGATAAATACCTAAACAGAATCTAACTCAATTCATAAATGAATTACACCTCCATAACAGTAGCTTAATCTGAGATCAAGTTTAACCAAGCATCAATCTATGGTCAATAAGTTGCTAGTAAGAAATATAACGCAAATCCCTTTATTTTTATTTATGTTTTTTATATGGTTTCAAAGCGCGGAAACAATATTTTCATATATGGGTAAAAGTTTCGTAGATCTTGCTGGGTTCAAAGCATGGAAACAACATTTCCATACATGGTGGATGGTACTCGTGCACACACACGCCTTTCCTCATATGCCATCATAGTTGGGGATAGCTGATTTTTGAGTTGTCATATGAAAATGAGCAAAACTTGGTCCTAATGACAAGGGTAATGCTGGATAATTAATTCAATGAAGCACTTATTAATTATAATTTCAAATTTTTTCTTATCGTAATTAACAAAATAAGATGATAATAAAAGGAACAGAAACAACTGTAGTGAGCTCAGCTTTGGTTTGAGACTGAACCAGACCAGATGAAATCAAGTTGTACTTCTTGACATAATGGGTCGGTGTTCTTTCCTGGTTATGTAAAACTGGGACAGCTGATTTATTCAAATAATTGGGATCAAGCGAGAGCAATTTGCTCTGGGGCAAATTGAGGTCAAATATCTTGCTCAGTTGCTCCATGTGGACTTGACGGTTAGAGATGTCCATGTGGTGGGAATCATGCATGATGTATCCTGTAGAAAAAAGTGTTGCACCTTTGATGTTTACTCAATATTAACCCGCTTTAGTTTAGTCTGTTGGCATAGTCTGTTGGCATATGTCCAGTCTTGCTTCTCTTGAATTCACACACATTGGCAGACTATTGACTGTTGCTTAAGCAGGTATTTGGTGCTCTAAGGACAACAATGTTCATATTAGGAATGATTTCTGTATTCATAGGCATTTCTTTGCTGGCACCAGACGAGGCAAAAGGTATAGTTGTGGGTTATGGATATAGTTGTGGGTCATGATTTCTGTATTCATAGGCATCACTTTCCATTAGAGCTATTAGAACTCCAATATTAGAGCTCTAAAACATTTATATCGTCTCCCTCTCATCTTTCCTAACAACCGTAGATCATAAATTATTGCACAAAAAATACAGAAAATAAAAAAAAAATAATTTTTAGTGGACACCCTGTTTTTTTTTTATTTTTTCGTAATTTTTTTTTCGTTACACCTGATTAACTACCATATATAGAGTTAATTGTAATCACATATTAGTATTCTTCTCACAATTCTGTGGACACCCTATTTTTTTTTTTATTTTTTCGTAAATTGTTTTTCGTTACACCTGATTAACTACCATATATAGAGTTAATTGTAATCACATATTAGTATTCTTCTCACAATTCTTTATGATGGACCCTCTGCATGTGAGCTCCTACAAAATAAATTTGTGTATTCTACAATCCAAAACAGGTAGGAACCCTTTAAGTCCAACCCTTCCCACTCCCATCAGACATGAAAAAATTCCCCATATTATTATTATTATTATTATTATTATTATTATTATTATTATTATTATTATTATTATTATTATTATTATTATTATTATTATTATTATTATTATTATTATTATTTGTGAGCAGGGAAAGCTTTGGTTTCTCCAATTGAGAGATATGCAGTTGTTCCTGATGACAACGTAAGTGTTCTTTCCACAGTCTTTATTGTCTTCATTACTGGTGTTTAAATAGTTGGTTTCTCCAAAAGATTATAATTTGCAACTGTTATCTATTTATTTATAGGTCAAAAGGATAAATTTTCCCGAGGGGAAGATCTGATTCTAGAAGTAAGGAATTTGCAGTTGATTTTTGAAATAAGCTGAAAATTGAGATCTTGTTGGAAATTTTTCAATTTTTGTAAGAGCATTTAAATATCCAATGTACTGATTGGTGAATTTTATATTTTATTTTATTATTTTATTTTTTTTTAGGATTTGGGTGAATTTTATAATTTAAATATGCTTTTATGAACATGTACAGTTTAATTGTTCTTTGTAAAATATTGAATTTGATGGTTTGATCAATTTAAATTTTTATTTTTATTTTCTGTTATGATGTTTTTGTGAATGGAATGTAAATAATCAGCTCTTAGTGAGAGAGAGACGGCACCACCGTCGGAAAAAATAGAAAATTTTAATATTTTTATTAATTTTGTTACAGGTTTTACTTTTTGCGACGACATTATACTGTCGCAAAAAATAGAAATTTTATTATTTAAAATAGAAATTTTATTATTTTTGAATATTTTTTGCGACGGCATTACACTGTCGCAAAAAATAAAAAATTTCATATTTTTTATACTTTCTGCGACGACACCACACCGTCGCAAAAAAGTGTTTTTTTTTTTAAAAAAGAACTATTGGCGACGGTATTTTTTGCGGTCTCAAATAACATTTTTAGCGACGGTAAAATAGGGTCGTCGCAAAAAAGTCAAGAAATTTCAAACGTTATTAGCGACTGCACAGTGCCGTCGCAAAAAGGCAAAAAATGCCGTCGCAAAACATTAGCGACGGCACTTACCGTCGCAAAAACTCTTTTGCAACCCCTGCAGTTGCGACCCCCCTCTTGCCGTCGCAAAAAGTCATTTTGCCGTCGCAAAAAGTATTAGCGACGGCATTAGGAGTATTAGCGACGGTATTTTACCGTCGCAAAAAGTCAATTTTTTTGTAGTGTTACTTTGGTATTTGGTATTAGGCCCAAGCTTTTTCTTTAGTTCAAAATCGGATTGGAATGGACTAGCTAGCTTCATAGGCCCACTATAGAGTTTACATCGATAATTTGAATCGTGCAATAATTAGGACTCGCCGAGTATTTTATTTTTGCAAAAAATTACATTGATCGGATATAGATAGCCACTTGATTAGATCAAATTTGTGTTAACAATAATTATGATTTTAAAAATAAATTGTTGACACAAATATAATCTGATCACGTAACTATTGATATCCGATCAACGTAAATTTTTATAGGAATAAAATACTCGACGAGTCCTATATATTTAACGATTTGGATCATCAATATGAGTTTCGTGGTGGGCCACAGAACTCTAACATCACACTCCAATTAAGAAACACAACTAGAGAGAAGCTGACTCCTTAGTGTTATTATTAAATTCCTCAATTGTTTAGTCTGACTAAAGTCCAATATATTGGAAGATTAACATTAGGTTAAGGACACAAAATTGATCATAAAATTTAGGGTAAATTATCAATAGAGTTTAATAGTTAAATTTAATTATCATAAAGTCTTATGAAAAATAAGTCTTAAGAATTGTTGCTAAAAATAATTTTTTGTGACTATTTTTTATATATATTGCTAAAAATTGACAATTAGTGACTTTTTTGTTACAGTTTTTATAAATTGTAGCTAAAATTTATAATTAGTGACTTTTTTTGTGACATATTTCAAATTGTCGCTAAAAATTAAAAATGAGGGACTTTTTTGTGATGATTTTTTTAAACTGTTGCTAAAATTTATAATTAAACGTCATTAATTATTATACAACTAATTAAATAATAAATCTACTCATTAAAATCTACACATAAATCCCTTTAAAATTAAATAAAAAATAATCTCAACCATACATTTTATTTGATGGCGTCTACTTATGTTTTATGTAGTTGATTATTTATTTATAATCATTCTTGTCAGAAGATTTATTACATTTGATATACCATCTATCTGATGTCGCGCATTAACTTTTATCTCAAATTTCATCTGAGAATTGATTATTTAAATTTTTTTTTGGTTTTTTATAAAAAAAAAATATACAAAAAAGTACAGAGAATTATGTAATAATTATAATTTATAATAATTTTTTAATTCTTTTAACTAAAATCTAAAATCCCCGGCCTTAGTATATAAATACACATATGCCCACGCACACAAACACCTAAAATGACTTTTGTTTTAAATTGTTTTTAAATAATATATATACACATGCCCACGCACACAAACACGTAAAATGACTTTTGTTTTAAATTGTTTTTAATTATTTTATTTCAAATGTTTATAATTTTTTAAAAATAAATAAAAATTAATTTATAACACTTTAAACATAAACCAAGAAAACATAAACGTTATCGACCATAGCATTTTTTCTCTTAGATTTATCAAATGGCTATGGGAGGATGTCGTGCTCAAAAACAGCACTCTACTCCAAATGAGGCATGCCAATAGGGATGCATCCACATATTTTATGTAGAAAAATCCAATTGAGATATTGCATCCAAATATTTATGTACAAAAAATCTAATAGCTGATGTAGGCTCTTACGTCATTCACATTAAAGTCAATCATGGCCGACTTGGGCTTTCCAAGGCAATGATGCCCGACAAAATTTCCATCAATACTGGTGTGGTAGAACACATGTTAACTTTTAATTTATTATTACTTTTATTGGTCTCTTATTATATTTTTTATTATTTTAAAATATTAATATTTTTTTAAAAAAAATTAAAGATTAAAATAATATAAATTCTTTATTTTATCATTTTTTTAAATTCATTAACAACATTAAAAATATAATTATAATAATTGATATTACTTAAAAAATATACTATTAAAGGGTAATTTTAAAAAATTAATTTTTTTAAAGTATAATAATTGTAATATCAAAAAAAATTAAATTTCCTAAAAGGGACTATTATTTTGAGATGAAAAAAATATATTATTTTGTAGGATCTATCTCTCTTTTTATATTATTATAGGTCAAATAAAAAATTTAAAATGTGAGTCTATAATATGAAAAAGTTATGTATATTAATAAAGTATTAAGTGGTATTATTTTTTCAACAATCACAAATATATATACCAATGTTTCTAAATACTCAATAATATGACTCATACTCCATTACTTTTCATCCATCACAAGAGTAAAAAGTATTATATAAATATACCTTGTTTAAACACAAAAATCACTCTTACAACACTACTTAATGAAAAAATCATCACAATAGATGATTTCTAGTACCAAATAATTAAGTGTCGCCATCTACGTGAGAAAAAATTACTGATTGGTCCAGAGACGTCATGCGGCCATATCTTTCATGAACCACAATTTGTTTTATTTTTTTATATTTCTCGATCACTGAATATAAATTTATGGATTTCATCTGTTAGGAAAAATATATATTTTTTCACAAATAAATCAATTAATGGGAATAAAAATTAATGTGAAAAAATTAAATCAATAACGACACAAGAATTTTATGTGGTTCCTTCAATCCGACGTACGTCTACGGGATCGAAATATGATTCCACTATCAACCAAAAATTTTCCAAACAATTAGAAATGAGACACAACTGATCTCACAAATCATTCTTAAGTGAATTCTAAATAATCAAGAAAAAAAATCTCACCAAATAAATAAATAAAAATCTTCAAAACAAATTGTAAAAAATTCAAAATAATGAACTAGATCAGCTTCACCAAAATACCACCACCGAATAATGATCAAAAAAGTTGCTGCTCCAAGTTACACCCCACTGATTTGATTTACAATGTTATATATGCCGAGCAAGGATCCTCTAGAGTGATTTTTTCCTAAAGTTTCCTAGAGTGCTCCATTGTGTGGTTGAGATTTATTGGCAAGTCACATCAATTTTTCTGATGTGACTTGCCAGTGAATCTCAACCACACAATGAAGCACTCTAGGAAACTTTAGGGAAATTTCACTCTAGAGGATCCTTGGTGATATATGCCACCACACTTATTTTCAGAAGACTGAAACAGTATATATATTATTGATTTGGAGGCTTTTTATGAAAACTCTACCTGTTACAGAATAGATTATTAAATATTTATTAGACCTTCAAAAGTCATATATAATATATTAAAAATATATTATAACAAACACCAACACCAAATCAAATTAAATTATTTTAATAAATTAATTGGGTCTCATACTTCACTAAGAAGGTATACTCAACAATTCTTCCCCTATCGACTTAGGTGGAGAAATCAACCATACCTACCAAAATTCGATACTTTAAGTGTTTGTCCCTCGACAAAGTCTTAGTCAACATATCTAAAATATTATCATCTGTGTGAAGTTTTTCGAGTTACAATAATTTTGAATCTAACACATCACGAATCCAATGGTATTTCACATCAATGTGTTTTGATCTTGAATGAAAAGTAGAGTTTTTACTCAGATGAATAGAAATTTGACTATCATAATAAAGCACATACCTTTCTTGCCTTAAACCCAACTCCTAGAAAAATTTCTTCGACCATAACTCTTCCTTGCAAGCTTTCGTAATGGCAATAAATTCAGTTTTGGTAGTTGAGAGAGCAACACATTTTTGTAATTAAGATTGTCATGCCACAGCTCCCCCTGCAAATGTCATCACATACCCTGAAGTAAATTTTCTAGAATCAACATCACCGGCTATGTCAGAATCTGTGAACCCGTCAAGTATCAACTTACCATCCCCAAAACACAAACACACCTTCGAAGTCCCTCAAAGATATCTTAAAATCCACTTCACCGCTACCCAATGTTCTTTACGCGGATTAGACAGAAACCGACTCGCCACACCAACGGCGTAAGGAATATCCAGCTTTGTACAAATCATGACGTACATCAAAGAACTAACTGCTGAAGCATAAGGAATTTTCAGCATCTATTCCTTGTCTTTCTCACTTGTAGGACATTGATTTGAAATAAGCTTGAAGTGACCCGCAAGTGGACAACCAATCGACTTTACTTTTTTCACGTTGAACCTTTCAAGAACTTATCTAATGTAGCTTTCTTGAGACAACCAAATCAGCCGCT